TGAATCAGAATCCATGGTGGTAAACTCCAGGAAACTGTATTTCCACAAGTTTTCTGGGACTTCTTGTGCACACTAAAGTCTGAGAAGCTTTGCTTTCGTTCTTCACTTGGCAAGGCAGATGTCCATGAAGGATAGTCAGTGCTGAAACTGGAGTGGCAGTTGCGGAAAGCAATTATGCATTCAGAGAGTATGCCCTATCGTTTGGTTGTGGTACAGAGGGGGCCAGCATGAAGCATGCTTTCTCATAATGATTGTGTGTGAGGCTAAGCAATATCAATCACACAGTGTTGACAAAGGGGGTCCTGGCCATTGTTGATCTCCTACCAGACCTTCATCCTCAGCGTTATTATGACACTTTATACCACGGGCATAGAGTAATGCATTTCCTGTTGCTTAAGTGACAAGTAGTTTGGATTCTTTGATTTCAATAGATACATGAAGATGAAAAGAAAGCCCATTTAGTCTGCATATGAGAGTGTACTGAAATAATACAGCTAATTCTTAAGATCTGGGGGCAACTATGTTGCTGTCACTGGAGGTGTTGGATGAGGGTAAAAAATAGAGCCAAATAATGGTCCCATAGTACAGAGACACCACAGAGAGGTGGGAGCCACAGGTGGACAAGGCTTTGCAGATGCCCTTGGTAGATGGAACCCTCAAGATGGTGGCCCCAATGTGACCATAAGAGATCAAGATGCATATTAGAGGGAGAGTAATGACAGCCACTCCTACTGTGAAAATGACCAGCTCATTGAGAGAGGTGTCCGAGCAGGACAGCTTGAGCAGGGCACCAAGGTCACAGAAGAAATGAGGAATGGTGTTGTCACCACAGAAGGACAGCTGGGCCAGGAGAAGGGTGTGGGACAGAGCAGTGGCACAGGAGAGGAGCCAGGACCCAGCTACCAGAAAGATACACAGTTCCTCTCTCATGAAGGTGATGTAGTGGAGGGGGTGACAGATGGCCATGTACCGATCATATGCCATTGAAGTGAGAAGGAAATTGTCCAAACCAGCAAAAAATATGAAAAAAAACGTCTGTGTTACACACCCTGCATAGGGGATGGCATGGTCGTGAGTCTGCATGTCTGTGAGCATCTTAGGGACGGTGACAGATGAGAAAGAGATGTCAGAGAAGGCCAAGTGGCTGAGGAAGAAGTACATGGGCGTGTGCAGGCGAGCGTCCAGCCTGGTGAGCAGGATGAGAAGCAGGTTCCCCAGCACCGTGGTCAGGTACATGCCCAGGAACAGGACGAAGAACGCACCCTGCTGCTCAGGCCGGATGGGGAGTCCTCGCAGGAGGAACTGGGACATGCTGCTCTGGTTTTCAGGCCTCATCCTGCACTTGTGTCTGCTGGTGATGAAAGCAAAATGAAAAAAGCACAATCAACAACTGTTGAGCCTAGGAGATGTCCTATCTGATGTGACACTGCTTCCATTCAATACAAAATGCAAAGATCTCTAGTGAAGAAATTCAGTGTCTTATCTCCAGGGGAGCTCAGGCAAATGTAATTGAGTTAGTAAATGTTTCCTGGGTCCAAG